TACACTTCTTTTGAGCAACCTTACCTGTCTCCTGAGCTTCAGGGCAGAGTTCTTTCAATGGAGCCATGTTGCTACAGTTGTTAAAACATCAGCATGGCCAACTACAAGCACTCAAAAAGCATGAGTCAGGCTCGAAAAATAATGAGATTATCTTTAAAATCTCATGAGTTTTAATCCATATATATATATATATATATATAATATTTGTCTTCTGATTACTGAGCTCTTAGGGAGCACTTTTCAGCAACCATGAGGGCTACAAATTTCCTTTTTTTTTAAATGAAATTTGATATTTTTCACTTGCACATGGATCTTGGAGCTAGTGGTTTAAGAAACAAAATTATAAAAGTTGGCAATGCTGCAACAAGCACCTTCCATTTCCTTTCTTTCCTCCTCCTCCTTCCTACCACAAGGAGGTGGTTATCAGAGTTAACGCTGCTTCAGAATTGATGGGCAGAACAATGTGATCTGTCTCTCCACAGATAAGAGCTCCCAAATCTCTTGAAGGACCTGGAATTGAATAATGCCAGAGAGGTGATACTCCCTCTTGTTTTTCTCCGACAAGGATTTGTACAGCTTTATTTTCTGACTATACATGTGCTTCTAAAATTATAGAAAACTTTGCATGGGACATTTATGGGAATGTCTTAACTGAAAATGTACATTAGCATAGGGGTATAAAAAAATCCATCCATCCAATTCTTCCATCAACCTAACTACTGCCTCTCAAGAAGGTGGATTAACTGCAATGGAAAAACCTCTTCTGTCTCTGTAGTTGAGTGTCTGCATTGTAGCATTTTCAGTGTAGACATATTTAAAAGTAACTTGATTCAATCCAGGACTGAATTGGAATGCACTTACATACGTAGCCAGTTTCAGGTTATATTGGCAGTCTTAATTCTGACACATCCCACCATTTTAATGCACCTGTAATGTTCTGTTAACAAATTCACTTTTTTGCATAGCTCTGGCACTAGTCTGCAACACAACCAGGTCTACACTTCAAAGTTTTGTCAGAAAACCTATGGGCACATCTACGCTGCGGGGCAAAAGTCCAACTAAGATATGTGACTTCAGCTATGTCAATTGTGTAGCTGAATTCGAAATAGCTTAATTCGGCTTTTGGCGCTGTCTACACAGCAGGAAGTCTAAGGAAGAACACTCTTTTGAAATGAGGGTTACAGGAGTTGGAGTTAGAAGTCCTCCATCTCAACATTATTTCGAAATAATGTCTTGCTTTGTAGACACGCATTATGTTATTTTGAAATAACGTCAGTTATTCTGAAATAATGCTGCTGTGTAGACATACCCTATGTGAGAAAATCTCCATCCCTGACCAACATAGCTATGCTGGCCAAAAAAAAGGTGCAGCTACAGCAGCCAGTAAGTCCTTTTGCTGATACAACTTACGTTATTTCGTCAGGAGCTATACAGCCAAAAGATCTCCATTTCCCGGAAAACACTGGAACTCTGCCATTATAGCTGTACAGCTATAGCTGTATCAGCAATGCCATGTAGATTAGCCCTAAGTAACAGCATTGGGCCTGATTTATAATGGTTTGGGAAATAATAGTAGTCCCTCTCTAACAAAGATTGTGTTTAATTGCAGTTTGCTAGAATGTGTTGTTGAGGGTACTGCTACTAGGACAGACCAGCAGATAAATCAGTCAAGTCAGTTTATTAAAATATCTGAAAATTCACTGATAACACTACAATTCCCTTTACATTATTCTGATTGTGAAAACAATTAATTAAATAACCTTTGGAGAATGTATTTAACTAGTCAAATACAGTACGGTCATGAACCCAAATAAAAAATTACTAAACATTACCATGAAGCAGAGCAACTTAGAGCAAATAAATGCAGAAATTGTCTATGGCTGTCTATACCCCACTTACTAACTTGGTCTGCTACACAAAATCCAAACAAACTAGCCCCACAAAGTGTGTATAAATGAGCTGTACACCTTCCATGAACCACAACTCTATACCTAGATCTACTTTTCTCCCTCACTAAGGAAACTGCAGCCTATGCATAAATCCAAGAGGTTTATATATTAACATAAATCCTGTGTTCTGAATGGGAATCCCACCTTTCAAGAACTGAAACAAGCACTGGGAAGCTGCTGCCAACTATGAGTTACCATAAAGGATACACTATCTCCTTTAGATGTTTTAATAGAGCTTTTCCTCAACCTCTGATTTCCCTTTGAAGAAAGTGGTGTGGAGAAGGGTATTACTCTAGTCTCTCTAGCTGAGTTCTGCAAGATGTTCCTTTAGAATTTTTCCTTGGCTGCTTAAATCACCAGACTTGAGAAAATCTCCAAGTAATATCTTTCATATTTTTAAATGTTTGCCTAGGCCAAGTTTTGTCCCCTTGCCCTGACATAATTACAATGTATGCAAAAACAGTAAGTAGCTGTACAGATATACAGTAGAGCTATAACTTGTTGGGTGTGCAAACCCTCATTTTGTTTTCAAACAGCAAAATAGATCACCAATTGCTGATTTATAGGAAGCTACAGAAGCATACACTGTTACAAGTCTTCTCTGCTAAAGTCAATGTATTTCTCTTCCTTGGGGTTGTGTGGGCTCCATCTGGTGGTTAATTGAAAACATGTACACTTACATTTAAACAGAGATTGACTGTAGTTTAATTGACAATTGCATACAGTAATTACTCCTTTAACACATGCCTGCTTAACACATTTTTGCAATAGCATGATTTTTTTAGGGAACGTTTTTTGAATAACATGACCGTCCCTGAAATAACACGAAAATAATCAAGTGGCGGACTACTTCGCATGGCAGTATAAGTTGGTGAAAACAGTGGTAATATGCATGAGCGGATGAATACACGTGGTCACAGCGCTCCTCCGCTCACTCACGTGTTTGTCTTTGTGTTTTAACAAACCGCGGTGACTTGTGTTGCTAGATGTCTTGTGTTGCTCTAATGTTGACGTTGACGACCCAGCACCTCCAAAAAATTGACTTTGCCACCACCACCTGAAATGCAACCCCTTTTCCATTATTTTTAATGGGAAAATTGGCCTTGCATGGCATGTTTTCGCTTAGCACGAACATTTTCAGAAACTCATCTACAGTGTTAAATGAGGAATTACTGTATTTGAAGACTGCAGAATCAGATTCTGCTGGCACTGTGATTTCATTTAAAACATCTGTTCTTAGGTTAACTGGATGATTTTACAGATTGATGGTAGGATACAGAGCTTTCTACTGTGGGGTTCACTAGATCCAGCTCACTGGGGTCTTAAAATCATTAGCAACGGCAACTGTTCACTGGTTTGCAAAGTGTGCTGGTGGGGATATATGGTGTAACCAGAGGGGCCCACTTGGATGGGTAATAATGGGGGGTGCAGGGAGTAGGAGAGAAGGGACGGAGCCACCTCCCCCCCCAACTGGCTGGGGTGGGAATGGACATGCGGGCCAGGGGACACAGGAATGCACCCAGAGAACAGGGTCTGCAAGCAGAGATTTGCCCTGTTCCACCACCTGCCTGGCTTTCCAGCCTGGAAGCAGCATTCCAGTGGAGGTTCTAGTCCTGCTGCTCCTGTTCCTCAGCTAGCGTACTGGGCGGAGCAGGGTAAGCCCTGGCTCCCCAACCCTGCTGCCTTTCTGGTATGCCAGGTGGGTTAGTGGAGCCGGAACAACCTGAGGAGAGCCATGAAGAGGATGGGACGGGATGCACAGAGGGTGAGCCAGAACCCACTGAATCCCACCCATCTGTGGCTAGGCCCTGGTGGGGACAGTCCAGTACATATATTTCCACTATCGTCAACACTAAACAACTGCTTTGCAATATCATCAGGAAAAGTAAGTATTAATATGCATGATGACTAAATCTTCCCACTTCCAGAGGTGGTCCCTGCAAAATGGGCTCTATGAAGTGTGGTGGGAAGCAGTTTATAGTACTCCTGACTGAGCTCTATATGATCTGTGTATGAATAGATATCTTTGATTTTACAAGGTTGTCAGTTCAGAATCTTGTATGAACATGACATTAATATTCACAGAGGAAAATTAATCTTTTGGTATTTTGTCTGAATATGCATGCAATAAATTCCTTTTTCTGAACACAACAAAAGCATTTCTATACCTAGAAACTGGTCAAAATCAAAGTCACGAGGCAGTAGTTCAATGAAACCTACTGGAAGGTATCACCTATAATCCAATACCGAAAACTATATAAATATACTGGGTACAATACAGCTGTGATTTAAATAGCAATGAAAAATACATATTAGATGCAATATGATCAGATAATGGATGTAAGTAGTGTTCCTTACAACAATTTGACAATTAAGAAGGCATAATTTATATACCAACATAGCAAAAGGCAGAATGCCAGGAAAAGCAACTAACAGGATTATCTTTATAGTTCACATCTACTACCATTTTATGCACAGTTTGTGCTTCATGTGTTATGTATGCTGACATTTGTCACAAATGCATTTGGTCAGTTACTTTAAAGGAGAGTTGCATGTGCTTACACCAGGGTTGAATTTGACTGATTAGGGCTAACTATTTGGGTTCAATCGCATTGTTATAACATAACAAACTGAAGAGACAAAAATATATATGGAGCATTTTTCCAAAAAGGTGACTGCTCCAAGCTATGAGGAGACCAGCTGAGGGGAGGTAGCTTTCTCTCAACCAGTGAATCAAGCCATAAGCCATTTGTCCTCTCTAAAGTGTTGAGAATCAGATCAAAAATAAGGGAGGACAACATATTTAATCAAATGAAAAGTTAATTTTTGCAACAAACTTAGGATAATGTTTAAGATTAATTGGGAGTGAGGGGAAAAAAAGTATTTTTACCTAACATGGTTCCCTAACTTGATGTCCACTGTGAGTCCAATTGAAACAGTAACATCTAGAGCAAAACCAAAAGGTAGAGGCGGGAAAGGTAATGGGATGGCACCTGAGCATGGGCTTCTGATGCTTAATATTTTTCTTGCATTTCTTTTGTGTGGCACTAGTGAAATAGGGACGTCTAAGCTGAAGAACTGAAAGCTCCAAATTTGAAGAGGACATGGGGGAGAAGCAGTCTGCAAAAGACTACTTTAAGCTCAGAACCACCTTTGCCAGACCTGAACTGGCACCAACTTTGCCTTCCTGACAGACCACACCAGTTGGTAATGGCACCCACAACAGAGTCAAATAAGAGTTCTCAGTAAAAACCTTTTGGACTTGTCTCCAAATTATATTATAATTTACTCCAAATTATATTATGATTTACTGGTGACTATCCTTACATCTATGGAAAATAAACTGAACTCTCATCTCCCAGGGCAGATAACCAAAAGAGCTGCATGCTAGGTGTTGAGGGTTACACTGAAATCTGCTAGCAGATCCTGCAAATCACTTGCTGCAATCCTTTTGTAAAATGAACATTGATAAGGTTGCCATCAAAACTTTTAGACTTTTTAAAACAATACAAATTAACAAGATGTAATTTTAATATATTCAGGGCAATTACAATAATAAATCAAGAGTTAAAACAACATCCACATTTGTTCTAGTCTGGAGAATAAGATGCAAAACCCCAAAAACCTATCTGGGGTCATGTGAAAGGATACAACCGGAAATGAGGCTTCTAATCAAGAGAGGAAAACTTTAATTTTCCTGTTGCTTCCCTACTGCCATCACCAATTGCTGATCGTGCTATTGAAGACCTGTGAAGCACTACCTTTAAGTGGGGGTAAGGAGATAGTGTTGGAATCCTACAAGAAGACTGGTGAATTAATGTGACAGACTGATTGGCCATAACATGCGTGAATGTGAAATAATCTTCAAAGGGAACAGTATGCACTTTGTTCTGAATGTGAGACTTGCAAGGCAAACCTAAAGGAGAGAAGGAGGCATTCATTTTGTGACCCAAGCATCTCAGCACTCCTAATATTTCCAGCTAAATTAATGAGCTTAGAGCATAACAGGGCATTCAGTGTTTAGCATTCAGGGTTTGGACAGATTAGAAAAACCATCAAGCTTCCCCACTACAGACCAAAATGGATCAAATTCAGACATGTCAATAGAATAAAATTTTGATTTAGCATTATCTACTACTACAGCACTGCATCTCACTGATTCTGTTATGGCTGTAAAAAGATATGGTTTTTTTTAGAAATAATTGTTATATAGAGGTGTTTGTGTATACTTTTACTTATTACTTGCATTTGCTTACTTCTTTGGCATGCTTAGCCTATTGTCTGTACTGCTGCTTGTGTGGACCATGTGCCTTTCTCCTAGTTCTATAAATTAGCTACAGTATGCAAATGATAGAGAAAATATTACGTGTCGGTGGGTTGGGATGCTTTATTTGATTGCATACCCTTAACCATTTTAGCAGGCAGAAGTGTAAAGGGAGATCAAGAACATGTTACTGCACCTTTAAAGGTTGAGTACAATGCTGGGAATGTTCACCAGTCTGGCCTTCTGGCTATTTTAAAACAATAGAAAAAAAAGTGATTCATCTGTGAACATGAAAAGAGGAGAGAGAACTAACCCACTGGTGAGTTCCTAAGGGAGAAGACACAACATAGTAAGGCATTGACAGGAAATGGAGCTGATCTTCCAGAGAATGGGAAACCTGTGGCACTCTCAAGACTTGCAACTCTTACAAAGCAAGAAAAGAGAAATGGGCACAATATTAACAGACAGCAGCCTGCTCTGGGCCTCCCCAAAATATTTATGCAAAGGGAGCCTGGAGCAGGCTGTGACTGCTGTAACATAGCAATTATTTGTAGTCTCTGTAAAATAACATCAAGGGACATCCCAGGTTTTAAAGATATTACTTTAAACTCTTTAATTAATGTTTTGATACAGTATCTTTAATAAAATGCTATCATTCAAAAGTCTGCTTATTACTGTCATTTAATATAATCTCTTCTATTGCTTTGGTAAAAGCTCTATCTAATATGAAATATAACACTAGCTAATACCTGATTCCTCTGCATTCCCAGTATTTTTCCATTCATCTGATAAGATTGACAATTTGGGAAATTCAGGCAATACACAGTGAAAACAAAGTAAAGAGAAATATTTAGCACTGATATAGTTCCATTTTTTTTCAGTGCTCTATCGTTAGCTATTTAAACCAAAATGCTTAATAAAGGTGCACAGATTCATGAATAAAAAGTAAATTGTTTAGGTATTCCTATTAAGATTTCCCACCATTGCAGCTATACAGTGGCATGAATAGTGGGAGTACAAGTATAGATGGCTGTCAGTGTTTTAATACTGCTCATAGGAGATCTATATAACTAAGGCCTTGCCTACACTGAACAGAAGATCGCCACTGCCGGGATGAATCTTCTGGAGTTTGATTTAACGAGCATAGTTAAGACTCACTAAATCAAACTCAGAAGGCACTCCCTCCAGTGAGCAGTAAGGGAAACCAATGGAAGTGTTTGCTCCCATCGGCTTCCCACTGTGAGGACACTGCAAAGTTTGGCTCAATGTAAGCCCACTCCAGCTACATAACATAGCTGGAGTTGCATATTGTTTAAACAGAGCTGCCAGGTCTAGTGTAGACCTGGCCACAGAGGTTAAAACAAGGTTACCTGAACCCTATCTACACTAAAACTGCCTCCTTTGCTACTCTGTGGTGTGTGCACTAGTAGTAACAATGGGAAATGTAAAGTTTAATGTAGTCAAGGTTGAAAAATCCAAGTACACAGCACACAAGTATATCTAATTAATACAACCAGTAATCTTTTCTTGCCTGCCTACATGTGCCTTTGTAGACTATGGGAGATACATACAAATAAGTGCAATATTTAATCTCCTAAATAAGAAACTGTCATTCCCTGAAATGACAAAAAGTGACCTGCAAAAGAGCTCCATGTATGTGTGAAAGCTTGTCTCTCTATTAGGAATGTGAGAGTGTAACTGTGTAAATGGTTAACCAATGAGCCTGAGCTCATTGGTTAACCTTCACTGTTACACACAGCCCCCCGCACTACTGCTTCTGTAGCAGAGGCAGCAGGAGAGACGAGAGGGGCTGCCAGCTCCCGAGGAGCTGCCTGCCTCCCCATACTGCTGCCTCTGATATAGAAGCAGCAGTGCAGGGGAGCTGGCAGGAGCCGGTACGTGCGGAGAGCCAGCTTTTAAGTCAGATCCCTGCGCATACTGGTTCCCATGGAGCCACCTGCCACACCCCTCTGGTAGCAGCACAGGGGAGCTTCCCCTCCCACATGTAAACATGCACCCACTGAAAATTTCAGCAGCTACACATTTACAAAAAAATGCATTTTAACATCCCTACTTTCTAACTGAAGTTGTCTAATATTCTGGGGCCAATATTTCTACACTACATACAATAATTCATATAGTCTGTTTTGCCAACTCTTGTGATTTCATTGCAAGTAGCATGAATTTGATGGGGTTTTTAAAAAGCAGCAGCTCACAGACTTATGTGATTACATGAGAGTCTCAGCTTTCATGAAAAAAACAAAAAAATTTCTAGCCCTCACAGATTCAGAGAAAATCTTTAAAATGTGACCCAAACATGTCCTAATGGTTCAAAAGCACAAAGGCAAATAATATAAATCCAATCAATATTATTTTAAATACAGTATGATATTTAATCTAGTCTAATAATTTTGCAGGGCCTGATTCATGACAATTGAATTTTTGGACTAGCAATACAGGCAGTCCCCGGGTTACATGGATACGACTTACATCAGATCCCTACTTACAAACGGGGTGAGGCAACCCCACACTAGCTGCTTCCCCCCAGCAGATCAGGGAGACGTGAAGCTAGCGCCCCCCCCCAGCAGACCAGGGAGACGCGGAGCGGCTTTTCTCAGCAGACACCTCAGCTTGAGAATAAAGGACTGAGGGAAGTGAGGTGTGGGAGAATAAAACTGAGCTCTGGAGAAATGTTTGGCTAGAGTTTCCCCTACAATATGTACCAGTTCCGACTTACATACAAATTCAACTTAAGAACAAACCTACAATCCCTATCTTGTACGTAACCCGTGGACTGCCTGTAGAGGGAAGTGAGGTGTGGGAGAATAAAACTGAGCTCTGGAGAAATGTTTGGCTAGAGTTTCCCCTACAATATGTACCAGTTCCGACTTACATACGAATTCAACTTAAGAACAAACCTACAGTCCCTATCTTGTACGTAACCCGGGGACTGCCTGTACTGAATTCGTGTGTGCTGTATTTTGCTGTTTTGTGTATCTATCTGCATGTTGCCTGTCATTTTCATGTATAGTTTGCATGAGGTATGTTACACTGACTGAGCTATAGGGTTTTTAGTTTATTTGGAGTTTTTACACATAGTATTCTCTTTTAGAAAGGAATAACATTTTGTACATTTTTGTCCCAAAAATAGTTCACAATTCATATCATGGTTTAAGGTCAGGACGAATTTGGATCACCTACTTTGACCTTCTGTATATCATCAGAGGCAGTTATATTTTACCCAGTTACTCTTGTATTGAGCTCAGTATTTTGCATTTGACTAATACATTCCTTATATTCAATCCCTACTTTTAAATTACTCTATTGTATAAATTATGTGAAAAAATCTGCCTTATTCTATCAAGCTAAAGATAGGGGTTCAATTTCTAATTCTACACCAGCTATTTAGCCTTACTGAAGAAACCTAAGCATTATCTCCAACCCATTTGGCTGTGTGGCATAGGGGAAAAGGCTCATTGGATAACTACTTCATGCTGCCAGAAAGGAGATGGGGTCATTATTGATCTCAAATGCAGTAAAACCAACCAAAAGTGGGATTACAGGGCTCTAAGAGATGCTCACATGATGATCTGGAAGTTATTACCAAAATATATTTTAAAAGATTTAGGCTGGTGGTGATTTTTTCCCCTTATCTTTTAAAAAAAATGTATGTCAAGGTCAGATTTGTGCCAAGCTCTGCATTATTAATGCCACTGTTCTTATAGGAACAGCACAATCCTGTTAGCCAAGCCTTTAATTTCTAAACCAGTCTGTTTGGTTCATCTTTGAAGTAACACTACTGCATATGAAGCAGCACAAAAGAAAATGATATGGATCTTTGCATGAGAGAGGATAGCTAACTTCATAGGTGGATAGTTGCACAACCTATAATGAAAGTCTGAAGAGAAAAGCTGAAAGGAAGTTAGTATTAGGTAGTCCTGTGACTACTCTGCTGGGACAAAAGATTACAATTGATAAGACTCATAGTGGCTCTTCCCTCCAATATGTTATAGGTAGACCACTGTAAAACCAATGAGCAGTCCTGTGGCACCATTATGACAGCCATTTAAATACAAGGGGTGGTGGTAAGGTGCCTCATAAAACTCTTAAGATAAAATTTGAGAGAGATTGTTGTGTCTGTGTATCTGTTTGTTCAGGAACTCCTCCTAAACTATAAGAGCTAGGACCACCATTTTTGGTATGCAGCTTCCTCTTATAACTTAAAGGAAGGTAAGGGTTTGGCTGTGCCAAGACAATGGGATTTACCTAGAATATGATTGTTTCTGCCAATGGGGCTTACAGCCACACGGTCCCCAGGGTAAGGTGGGGGGGGGGCCCTGGAGCTGTGACCCTGGAAGGGGAAGAACCTCAGGTGGAAGGATCAGGGCAGAGGGCAGTCAGTTGGAATGACTCCCTCTCCTCCAGCCCTTAGAGCAATGTGGAACACCAATTCAAAGGTACCTGGAGCTCTGGGCCCCTTTGACTCTCTGAGCCCTGGGGCAATTTCCCTTTTGCCCCCCTGTCGATGGGACTAGTTTCTCCCTCTCCACACCAGCTCTAGGGAGACACTGCCTAGGCAGCTTAGCTCCTGTTGTCCTGGGAGCTGCCACCCAGGCAGTGCGGCCCCTGCCACCCTGGGGCGCTGGCAGCCTTGTAATATGGTCCTCACCGCTCCGGGAAGCCAGCAGTAAGGCAGTATGGGCCTGCTGACCCAGCCACACTCTAGGATCGGCCAGCCCCCTGCACCTCCCACCCTGATGTCCCACATACCTCCCAACCACTTGCCCAAACTCCTGAACCCCCCCTCTTCCCTCCGGCACTGCCTGCTCTGACTCTTGCATTCTCCATAGGCTGCTCGGGGCCCCTCCTTAAGACCTGAGCAACACTGAGTAAATGTGCTATTAAAAAATAAAAGTAATCTGGGCTTGCTAGAGGGAGATAGCAACTATGTCTATAACGTACAAAATAACTATTTAGTAGCGTGAGTCTACATATACTTTGGTTTTTAGAAAATAAGTCCATGATTTACCAAAGTATTTTACCATTAATCCAAGACTTGTGACAGTATTAAGGCTATACTGTGACCACGTCATCCTCCATGATGTTTTCCCAAACTTTTCCATGATAAACCTCCAGCTGAATTAAAATATAGGTAAAAATGAAGGGGAGAGCTTATTGTGAGCAAGGATTACAGTCCCTGCAAAACACCATGTGTGTCAGCATGTTCCTTGTATTTACAAAACTTAAACAGGGCCAAATTAACCATTGGTGAATGAAACCACACCAACCTGACAAAGGCTATGTCTACACTCGCAGCTTCTTGTGCCAGGAATATGCAAATGAGGCTAAGCGTGGAATAAAACCGAGCCTCATTTGCATACCTAATGAGCTGCCATTTTTGCAGAAGAGGCTGTTGCACCAGAAGGAGCTGTCTACACTGCCCCTTCTTGTGCAAGAAAAAACCTCTTGCTCAGTGCCGTTACGCCGATTACTTTTCAGGAAGAATGGCATTGTGCAAGAGGTTTTTTCTTGCACAAGAAGGGGCAGTGTAGACAGCTCCTTCTGGTGCAACAGCCTCTTCTGCAAAAATGGTGGCTCACTAGGTA